TCTGTATCTCTGGAATGTTTTAACTGATAAGAATTATCAGCTAATTCATCATCATCTGTAGTACCTGTTGTTTTACTCTTCCTGTTCTCCAATAATTCTTTCTGGTGGATCAGTTTTTGTAGGATCAATTGATTGATCACCTTCTTCGACAGTATATTGTTCTGTATCTCTGGAATGTTTTAACTGATAAGAATTATCAGCTAATTCGTCATCATCTACAGTACCTGTTGTTTTACTCTGCAACACTCGAGGGGACTCATTAAAAACAACATGTACTGATTCTTCAACATATTTCAGTCTTAAATTATAGACTCTATATGCATGACTATTAGAAGAATAGCCAAGAAAGATCCCTTTGTCATATTTTTCATCAAACTTGCCAATATTTTCTTTCCCATTGTTTAAAACAGAACATGTACATCCAAAAACCCTAAAATAGTTTATGTTGGGTTTTCTTCCTTTGTAAAGTTCATATGGGGTTTTCCTAAGAATGAGTTTAATCAAAACTCTATTCAAAACATGACAAGCAGTGTTTACAACATCTGCCCAAAAGTATTTAGGTAAGGAGTTCTCACAAAGAATTGTTCTAGCAAGTTCCACAATGGATCTGTTCTTCCTTTCCACAACACCATTCTATTGAGGAGTTCTTGGAGCAGAAAAGTTGTGTTTTATGCCATACTTTTCACAGAATAATTCAAACTTTTCATTTACAAATTCTCCACCATTGTCACTTTGAATAGAAGAAATGAAATAACCTTTCTCATTATGTAAAACCTTGGCAAGCTTTTTAAAAGATTTGAAAGAATCTGATTTGGCTTTTAGAAAAATAGTCCAATTAAATATGGAAAAATCATCAACAATTACCATGATATAAAGATTACGACCTAGGCTTTTATTTCTTGAAGGACCAACCAAATCCATGTGAAGCAGTTCCAAAGGTCTACAAGTAGAAACAATGTTTTTATTTGAAAAGGATTTTCTAGTTTGTTTACCTTTTAAACAAGCTTCACAAATTTTGTCTTTCAGAATTTGAAGCTTAGGTAGTCCAGAAACTAAATCTTTAGTAATTAGTTTGTCAAGATGATTAAGATGAATATGTGCAAGCCTTCTATGCCATAATCAAGATTCTTCTTCTTTAGTAAGAAGACAACTTTGAGATGAGATAGATTGTTTGATATCTAGCATGTAAATGTTGTTTAATCTCTTACCAACCAACATTACCGTGTCAGATTTTGGCTCACAGATTAGGCAGATTTCTGGTTTGAAGATAACCTTGTGACCAAGATCACATAATTGGCTTATACTGATTAAGTTGTGCTTAAGACCTTCAACAAGAAGAACATTGTGAATGGTCACGGTTTCACCATCTCCTATATCTCCAGAACCTAAGATTCTTCCCTTGTTGTTATCTCCATATGTCATGTGACCTCCAGTCTTCAATCTCAGTTTCTGAAATTTGGAAATATCACCTGTCATATGCCTTGAGTATCCGCTGTCCAAGTACCAAAGTGATTCTTGCTGCTGTTCCTGAAAAATCAAGCATCAAGTATTTGGTACCCTTAAATACTTTTGGGTCCTTAGTGGTCAAATTTTCTGTTTAACATATTTTGGAACCCATCTCATTTTACCCTGTGGCACAAAATGTTTTCTAATATGACAAAATTTTACAGTATGCCCTTTTTCATACAATAATGACAAGATGAGAAAGGAGATGTTGTTGATTTTCTGAAAGAAAAGAAGTTTAAATACCTTTTAGTTTTAACCCCAAACTTAGGTTTGTAACCAATTCCAGTATGATCAAAAACACAGTTTTGAGACCAAAGAAGTGTATCTAAATTTTCTTTACGTTGAGTAAACTTAGATAAGGTTTTAATCAAATACTCAACCTTTTTCTGCAGAGAGATACACTTTTCACAATTGTTGTTAGCAACAGCATTATCAGAAAATGAATTATTGTAGATTATTTCAAGATGTTCCATATCTGTTTTGCTTTCTAATAATTCTTCTTCCAGAACTTTAACCCTATTCTCTAACCAGTTATTTAGTCCTTTTAACCGATTATTTGTATAGGATAAATTCTTAGCTTCATCATGCATTTCATTGAAAGCAGTTAGTAATGTGTTGTAATTCATTTCATTCTCTGTGGGGGTTGAACTTACATGGGATGAAGAGGATTCACAGCCAGCCATTAAGCATAGATTCACTTCTTCACCTTCAGATTCAGAACTCGAGGATGAATCATTGTCTTGCCAAGCTATGTAGGCCTTTTTCCCTTTGTACTTCATATCTTTCTTGTTTTGATTCTTGGATTTTTCTGGACATTCACTTCTTATATGTCCCTGCTTACCACAAGAATAACAAGTATAAGTATTTTGAATAGAATCAGTTCTTTTATCATTGTACCTTTTAATCTGGCCAGTTTTGTTCTTCTTCTTAAGAAATTTCCCAAACTTCTTAACCAACAGATTAAGATTCTCAGATCCATCTTCTTCAGAGTCACTACTTTCTTCAATTGTCTTGAGAACAATGTTTCTGCTTTTCTTCTCTGCATTTTCTTGTTCTTTAAACCTGTTGATCTCCAACTCGTGTTCCCTTAGCTTACCAAACAATGATGCAGTAGTCATCTCAGTTAAGTCTCTTGATTCTGATATAGCTGTCACCTTTGGTTGCCAAGTTCTGTCCAAACATTTTAAGATTTTGATGTTTAACTCTTCCTTGTCAAATGTCTTGCCTAATCCAATTAGATGGTTGACTATATGCGTGAATCTTTTCTACATATCTGCAATGGTTTCACCTTGCTGCATTTTGAACAATTCATAATCTCTAATTAATTCATGCTTCCTTGCCCTTTTCACATCAAAGGTACCCTCATGAGTGACCTCTAGAATCCCCCACATTTCTTTGGCAGAGGCACATTGAGAAACCCTAAAAAACTCATCCAGATTTAAGGCAAAGGTAATAATGTTCTTAGCAGTATAATCATATTGAACTTTCCTATTTTCTGCATCAGTTAAGTCAGCCCAGTCTTTTTCAACAATTTTACCATCCACTATATGAGTTGGTTTGAAAGGACCATTAACAATTGTATCCAAAATACCCATATCAAGAGATTCAATAAAGATTTTCATTCTAACCTTCCAGAAAGAATAATTCACACCAGCAAATAGAGGAGGCCTATTGATGGAGGCTCCTTTAGAAAAATTCATCTTTCCCTCAGCCATTTAAACTTTCTTGGACCGAATTCTTGAATAAATTACAAGAACTAGCTCTTGATACCAATTGTAAGAATTAATGGTTGAGTTCAAGAGGGGGGGGGGGGGTGAATTGAACTTTAGAAATCTTTTTCGAAAAACACTCTTTCTTTGTGGAAGAATGATTAATCTTTATCCAATCTTTTATTAGGCAGATTTGGTTTTAAACAAAGCAAGAATATAAACCAGAAATGAAAAGAGATAAAAGCAGAAATACAACACAAGAGTTTATACTGGTTCACTCTTCCCAAGAGCTACATCCAGTTCTTGACAAATCTGCCAAGTTCCACTAATACCAAGTGAAAATACAAACCAGTAGATATAAACCAATCTACCCCAAGAACTACCTTACAACACCACAAGATAGACTCTTGAAAAACCACCCAGCAACCAAACCCAGTTACTGTAACCAGTGCAGATTCAAACCCAATCTACACAATTAGAATTCGTACAAGTATATGAAAAGAATAAACCTGGACTGCAGCTTTTACAATATAGAAGTCCATAAGCAATTTTTCTAACTCAGAACTTTCTCTCTTGAAGATCTTTCAACAATCTTGATCAAAACGCATTATGATATGAAATGTTTATGAATGCTCAGATAAAAACACGAATATGAGAGCTCCAAGATTGCTTTCAATCATTTTTCAAATTGTGTATTTGAAAGAGAAATCAAAACTATATTTATAGAGTAAAAGAGAGAGACTGATAGTTTCAATCGATTTAAAATGATGTTTCAATCGATTGATTTCATTTAAAACTCATTCAATCGGTTAATTCTAGCTTTTAATGGATTGAAACTGTTAGAAGAAAAATGGTAGCTCTCTGTTTCAACAGATTAAAATATATTTCAACAGATTGAAATTTTGAGATACTTAAAAATGAAAAATGATATCTCTCTGTTTCAACAGATTGAACTTGATTTCAACAGATTAAAAATCTGAGATACTTTAAGATAAAAAATGACATCTCTCTGTTTCAACAGATTGAACTTGATTTCAACAGATTAAAAATCTGAGATACTTTTGAGATGAAAAATGGCTAGAACATTTTAATCTTTTGATTTCTCAATTCAACAGATTAATACTGCGAAACCCTTAATATGGAAAAACCATCAAGAACATTTTAACTTGTTGATTCTGCGATTCAATCAATTAAAATTTTGGCTATATATACATTTCCTATTTTAAGGGATTTTAACAGATTAAAATTGCTTTTTAACAGATGGAAAAAACTCAGTTTGTTCTTTTAAGGCTTAAAAATTGGTTTTTCATGCAGTAAGATAAATTCTATGAAATGCAACATTTATAGGCACTTATCACAAGATCTACTGAAACTATCAAGAGATTAAATTCTAAACCTATAACCTATCTACCTACACACCCACAAAATAAACTCTATATGTCTTCATCAAATCCAACAAGTGCTTCAGATTATTCCAGTGTGACTTTCAGAAAACTTGAAGTTTAAATAAGATAATCGATTATCCTCAGTAATAATCAATTTTTCCAGTGTCTCCCTAATAAAAATGAAGCTTTTGTGGACATACTAAGTGTTCGCTATTATGGACTCTATTTTTATAGACTCAAGCAGACAAAACAGAGTTATTACAAGCAATTTAAATTGAATATAAGTCTTCTAATTTTGAAGTTCTTTATTCTTGAATCATCATCAAAATCTTTAGTCATCATATTATTGTATTTTCAACAAAACCAACTAGAACCAAGACAAACACCAATACAAGCATGACTAGGCACCAAGACAAGCACTAATGTGCAGAAGGATAAGCACCAACGTGCACAAAGACAAGTACCAACATCCACCAAGACTAGAACAAATGTGCATTGGGACAAGCACCGGGATAGGAACCAAGCCAAGCATAGGTACAAGGACCAAGATAAGCATTAATGTGCACCTAGACAATTTGCAACGTGTACCAAGACAAAAACCAACGTGGACTAAGATAAGCACCATCATGCACCGACACAAGCACTAAGAGAAGCATTGGCGTGCACCAAGACAAGCATTGTCATGCCTCTGAATAGGCACATGAATAACCAACAACATGCATCAACACAAGCATCAACGTTCACCAAGGTAAGCACCAACATCCAATAAGACAAGCCCCAACGTGCACCAAGATAAGCACCATCATTCACCGAGATATCAACCAAGACAAGCACCAACGTGTACCAAGACAAGCACAAACGTGCACCAACACAAGCATAATCATGAACGAAAACAAGCACCAACATGCACCAAGACAAGCACCATCTTGAACTGAGACAGGGACCAAGGTAAGCACCAACGAGCACTAAGACAGACACTAAGATAAACACTAATGTGCACCAAGACAAGCACGACTAGGCACCAAGATAAGCACCAACATGCACAAAGACAAGCACCAACGTGCACCAAGATTTGAATAAATGTGCACTAGGACAGGCATCAGGACTAGGACCGAGCCAAGCACCGGGACAAGGACCAATAAAGGCACCATTATGCACTAATACAATCTGTAACGTGCACCAAAGAAATCTGCAACATGCACCAAGATAAGCACCACAATGGACCAAGATAAAAACCAACAACGACTAGATAAGCACATGCATCAATACAAGCACTAAGACAAGCACCAACCTGCATCAAGACAGGCAATGTCATGTCTCAAAACAAGCACCAAGACAAGTAACATCGTGCATCAACACAAGCACCAATGTCCACCAAGACAAGCACCATTGTGCACCAAGATAAGCACCACTGTGTAGCAAGACAAGCACCATCATGCACAAGGACAAGAATCATTATGAACCAAAACAAGTACCCACATGCACTAACACAAGCACTATCTTGGACCAAGATAGGGACTAAGATAAGCACCAAGATAGGCACCAAGATAGCACTAATGTGCACAAAGACAAGCACGACTAGCACTATAAGAAAAACAACTTTTAGCGAATTCTTAGTAGCTATTAGCAACTGATTTAATTCAGTTATAATTAGTGACTGATTTTGCCACCAAAGTATAATTTGGTTTCACTTCTTTATTTAGCGACCGAAATAGCAACCAATAGTTTGCGTAGCAAAATTTCGGTCACTAAATTGGTGGCTATTCCATACTAAAATAAAAAAAATCATTTAGCGACTGATTTAGTGACCGAATTACAAATTAAAATAGCGACTAAATAATAATCGGTCGCTAATGAGAAAATAGCGACCGAATTAAAATCGATTGCTAATGAACATTATTATTTTATTATATTTAAATTTATTTTGTTATAAATATACTTTAATTACTTTAATATATTTTTTACAATTTATTTTTTAAAAGTAATTTATTTTTTAAAAGTAATTTATTTTTTAAAAATAATTTATTTTTTAAAATATACTTTAAAAATAAACTTTGGTCTCCATGTTAACAAAATGAAGATTAAATTTAATTTTAAATTACTAAAATAAAAATATTATTAAAAAATCAAATTTATTTTTAATTTAGTTTTTAAATTTATTGCTTTATTATTATTAATTACCTAACCATGATTGTTTTCATATAATTGATATACCAGAAAAAAATTATATCAAAATATAATTGATATACATTAGATAATAAATATATTATTTAATTAAATTATTTATAAAAATATAATTATCTTTAGTTGAAATATTTTTTACTTTAAGTATGCTAATTAATATTTTTCATTTTTAACATAATTAATAACAGAGATTAAAAATAGATGGTTAGAAAAGTTAAAAATTTAAAACTAATCCATTTTATAAATACTAAAAATAAACCATATTTAAATTTATATTCAACACACCTCCAATTTTTCTCAATAAATGCATAGATCACGTTTGGAAACTTCATTACTAAAATAACTTCAAAATTATTAACTTTTTTTTTCAAAGCCCATTTTCTTATCAGCTTTTTCAAAAAAATAGTTAATGTAAGTTAAGACTGTGCCTTTTTAAAATTTCAACTTTTATATATATCAGATTTTTTTATAAATTTAAACTTACTTTTTTTTAGTTTAGTTTTTAAATTTTATGTATTTATTATTATTAATTTACATACTAGAATAAATTTATATAAAAATAGTCTTTATCTTCAAAATTCACTTCTTCAAATTCTATCTTTATATTTTTCTATTGTTTCTTTATAGTTAAGAAGGTCAACATTCGTGCACACACTTAAATATAATATAGAGTAAAGATTATTTATTTATTCTATTTTCTTTCCAATCTATAATTCTAGTATTTTTATTTTAAATATATATTTTACATTTTTAAAATTAATAATTTTAATGTGGAATTCTTTCAAAATCTGGAATTCTTCTACCGCGAGAAATTGTAGAATATAATAAAAGTTGTAGACAATTTGGCAAATAAATCATTCTTAGGAAACATTGTGTTCTATGATTGTTATTTTTTAATAGTTAAACCAAACATGGGTGTTTCCCAAATTTAGATTCCCGACAAACTAAAAATTTCACTAAACTTAGGGTATGATTTTGAGATGATGTATAAAACTGGGAGTGAGAACATGGCAGCATATATAGGCTATATAAACTTTAAAAGGGTAGGTTGTATTATAAGGAGAGACTGGTGATTCCGAGAAACTTATCCAAAATTTTCTTAATCTTTTTCTGTATCCAATTTCATCAAGATAGATATAAAATAATAAATAGATAATAATTTATTTGAAAAAAAGAAAAAATATTAAAATATGAAAAAAGAAAAAAAGGAAAAGAAAATAATAATAATATAATAATTACTCTTTTAGTAACATTCTACAATTTAAAAAAAAAAGAAAAATGAAGAAAATAATTTCTTTAAGAGAAAAAAGAAAAAAAATTCATCTAACATTTTTACATTTATATAAAAAAAGGAAAGAAAATTAATATAAATATTTAACTTGCAATTTTATTGTTTGAACCCAATTCACCGTAGTGTTTCAATAGCTTAGTTTTTAACCTAAAAATATTTAGAGGATTTAGGTTTGCACAGAGGAGATATTATTTTCTCTCCACCTTCACTCTCACGTCTCACCTCAGCACCAACTGTTAGTATTTTAGGAAAGATAGGAAAGATGGTTTGATGTTTAGTAGTGAGTGTCGCCGCCGTCAAAACGAGGGCGGGCGGAGCGACGCGATGGTTTCGACCCTCTTGATTTTTGCGTTTTTTGTGGGTGGTTACAACGCCTTTAGGTTGTCCGATAACCGGGCTGAACCTAGGGGCGAGGTTTTCGAAAAGGTGCTCTTGGATTGTCTGATAACCGGGCTAATCCAAGAGCTAGTTTTGAAAAGGTTATGTGGAGTCGCCACCGATGTTTTTACCGGAAACATCGGAAAAGGAGTTTAAAAGGCGTTGGTTTTTGGAAAACCAACTTTGGTCGTTAGAACCAGAGTTGGGTAAGGGAGTTAGTTACGTGTAAAGGAAGTGTTAGTTCCTTTACGACGCCCCTTTCGGGTTCCCTATGACAGGCCAGCTGTTTAAAAAATATTTAAACCGGTGAAAATTACGCTTTTACCCTTTTATTTTACGGAATTTAAAATTATGACTACATGGCCCTAATATCTATTGCATAATTTAAAATTAAAGAAATAAGAGTGGAGAGGGAGAATGTAAACCTCCGAAGCACGCTTTTCTATTGATTCTTTAAAATTTAGGGTGCTTTGTGGCAGCCCTTCACTCTACAGCGCCGGAAAACCTCTCGGAACGCTCGAAAATCACTCTAAAGACACTCAGAAGCTCCGGAAATGCGTCGGAGGGATTCTAGAGAGAGAAACTAGTGATTTTCTAGAGAGAAGGAGGAGAAAGCTCTGTGTGGTGTGTGGAAATGAGGGGAGGGAGCCCCCTATTTATAGTTTTTCGCGCTTGACAGGTCGAGACCGCCGTTCTCGTCTGACAGGGTCGAGACTGCCGTCTCGTCAAACGAGACCGCCGTCTCGCCATGCCAAAGTGGCGAGACCGCCGTCTAGGAAAGCGAGACCACCGTCTCGCCAAACGAGACGGCGGTCTCGCCACTTGCATGAGGCGAGACGGCGGTCTCGATTTCGAGACGGCGGTCTCGTCCCAAAAAGGCGAGAAACCTTATTTTCGTGCCAAAAATCCCTCCTATCCTAGTATGGGGCCTAATAGTCTCTCCTAGTGGCTTGTTAGGCTTCGTCCATCTTCGAATATGAGGTCTTCTACTCTTTATTTGGAGGTCGGGCAAGTAAAGAACCGATATCCCCCAAGAAATGGGAAATCAGCCTACTCAGAGGTATTATCAAGAACAAATATCCTCAAGTAGAACACCAGCCTATTCAGAGGCGAAAAAACAACAAAGCCTTCGCCACTGTTGAAGCATTTGCCTAATCAAGAGGCACAATCAAACCAAAAATCCCCAATGGGTTCCCGCCTAAAATAAGAGGCAACCAGCAAAGACTGCCCGGCAAAGCCGGATGGCTAAACAAGAAAAAGCCAAAAACAAGAAATCCCCGGCCAAGATGGATGGCTAAACAAGAAAAGCCAAAAACAAAGAAATCCCCGGTAAAACCGGATGACTAAAAAAGAAAAGTCAAAAAGAAAATCAATCATTCCCCATGGAATAGGCGCATGATCAAAGACAATAAGTCGCCAACACATCTCCAAAAACCGGATGAGGGTTTGTACTCATCAATCAAAAGACTGAATGCCAAAAAAGAGCATCCCAAGAGCCTTATAGAATAGGGTTCATACCAGGTGGGGGTAGGTACCCATCAGAGCCTTGCAAGACGCAGGTTCATACCGGGTGGGGGTAGGTACCCATCAGAGCCTTGCAAGACGCAGGTTCGTACCGGGTGGGGGTAGGTACCAATCAGAGCCTCGCAAGACGCAGGTTCGTACCGGGTGGGGGTAGGTATCCATCAGAGCCTTGCAAGACGCAGGTTCGAACCGGGTGGGGGTAGGTACCAATCAGAGCCTCGCAAGACGCAGGTTCGTACCGGGTGGGGGTAGGTACCCATCAGAGCCTTGCAAGACGCAGGTTCGTACCGGATGAGGGTAGGTACTCATCGGAATCTAGCAAAAATGCAGATTCGTACCAGGTGGGGGTAGGTACTCACCAAAGCCTTATAAAATAAGGTTTATACCGGATGAGGGTAGGTACTCATCAGAGTTTGTCAAGATGCAGATTCGTACCAGGTGGGGGTAGGTACCCACAAGAGTCTGTCAAGATGCAGATTCGCACCAAGTGGGGGGTGTAAAAACCACTAGAGTCTGTCAAGATGTAGATTCGTACCAGGTGGGGGTAGGTACCCACAAGAGTCCGTCAAGATGCAGATTCGCACCAAGTGGGGGTGTAAAAACCACTAGAGTCCGTCAATATGCGATTCGTACCGGGTGGGGGTAGGTACCCACAAGAGTCCGTCAAGATGCGGATTCGCACCAAGTGGGGGTGTAAAAACCACTAGACTCGTCAAGATGCGGATTCGTACTGGTGGGGGTAGGTACCCACAAGAGTCCGTCAAGATGCGTATTCGCACCAAGTGGGGGTGTAAAAACCACTAGAGTCCGTCAAGATGCGATTCGTACTAGGTGGGGGTAGGTACCCACAAGAGTCCGTCAAGATGCAGATTCTCACCAAGTGGGGGTGTAAAAACCACTAGAGTCCGTCAAGATGCGGATTCGTACCAGGTGGGGGTAGGTACCCACAAGAGTCCGTCAAGATGCAGATTCGCACCAAGTGGGGGTGTAAAAACCACTAGAGTCTGTCAAGATGCAGATTCGTACCAGGTGGGGGTAGGTATCCACAAGAGTCTGTCAAGATGCAGATTCGCACCAAG